ACTTGGCCGCCTAGGAGGAGAAAAGTCAGCTCAACAACTTTACTTAAGAGTGTAGACAAGGTTTACTTAAGAAAATTATGAGAAACAATTAAATGTTTTAGCAGAAGTTTGGTACAAGTGATCTACAAAGAGAGTTACAGAATTGGTCTCTCTATATGAATTGTTAGAATTGCATCTTGATGAATTTTTACAAGTTTGTCATTTTACTATAATGAAGTTCTTTAACATTTATATTAACTCTTCATTAAAGTTAGTTTCTAAGACAATTTTAATTGCAGTTTTTGAAACAGAGATTGCAATCCCAAACCAGTTTCTTAGAAGAGTAGCATGGTGAATAGCTTCATTATATTCTAATTTCTAAAATTGTTGTAGACTTTGAAAAGTAAATATTGCTTTGAAGAATGATAAAGTTTCAGTACATGGCTGTATAGCAGTTAGAACAAGTAAGCTTTTGAGATAAGTGTCCAATCAATCTATATTATCTTTATACCATCTAACTGGCATAATACTAATATAGAACTTTGCATGGCTTGAGTAGAGTATAACATGCCAGAAATGACAACAAATAATTTCTTTTATAAAAGTTTTTATGCAGGTACAAATATGAGTCCTATCACTTAATAGTATTACTATGTTTTCTCAATTTGAAAGACTATTTACATGGCATATTCTTCATAATTCAATTATATTTAAAATTTTAACTTCATTTAAAAGAGATTTTAATGTTGCTTGTAGTTCATTATTAACATCTTCAATGAAAGCATCATTAACTGTATCAAGTTCTAAAACCTTCAAAAAAATATAAATATTTTTTAGTAAACTTAACTAACAATTATTTTATTATCAATCTTAAGCTTTCATTCTAATCAGTTAAAACTGAACTATATCCACCTTGACAGAGGATAACATCAAGCAACCTTCATATATAAATAATTGAGAAATTTGAAATCATTGTCATGACAAAATAAAAGAGTATAAGAATTGAACAAAAATTGCATCAATGCTAGTAAAAAATTGAGAAGAAAGATGTAGAAGTCCATTTATTATGTAAGAAGCCTTAAGATCAATTAGCTTGTTATACCATAATTCATTATTTAATTTTTTTTAAATTACTTTTTCAATATCACATAGCATACTGGCACTATTTAATAATTTCTTGATTATATTATTAAATGACTTCACACTTTGTGTACTTTGGATACTGGTATTAAATTAAAATGGTGTATAGGATTTAGTCCAACTAAGATGATTAGAATATAATCTTCTTGTCATATAATTATAGCATTCTGGAAATATTTCTATTATAGACTTCCATCATTACTCAAATAGTTTAATACTTAATGCATTTCTACATGCATAAAACTTTTTGCTAAAGGCATTAAAATTTTTGTTCAACTTTGTTTTAAGATGTTTAACAATGTTCTGCCAAATATGAAATAGGCAGTAAAAGTGTCAGATTGCTGGAATAACATGTAAGGCAGCATTAATTAGACCTGATTCAGAATTGGTTCAAAATGACTTTGGAGCAATATCACTAGTTGCTTTCATTAAGCATTATAAAATCTATATATATGTTAATGCTATTTTATCTTCTACTAAAGCATTTGCTATATTTTTGAATTTTTTATAATTGTCTCTTATTATAAAGACACTTAAATACATATTGTATTTGTTAGTCTTACAAGTATTGTTATTTAATACTATTTCATAGAACTACTAATATAAATTTTGTTAATTAGAAGACATTCAAAAGACATCTGCTAAATGATACTCACTATGCAAATATTGAACATATACTTTTCAATCTGAATTATATACTATTTTTTCAAAAAGTGATTCAAAAAATAAACTAGAATCAGGTTTTTCATTATTGTAACATTTATATAAGTGATAAATCACATTATAGATGTCTTGTTTGTGAAAAATATGTTGTAAGTATTTTTTTTTTAGAACCTCAAACTGTGTAACAGGCACTATTTTACATTCTGTAAGAAATCTCAAATCCTCTATTATTTCATTACTAAGTTGTTAATACTTAGCATTAAGATGGACTATATGTTCAGGTTCTAACTTATGATTATAAGCATCAACTAAACTTTTACATCTTATTTCTTCTATAGTCTTCAGAAATGTAAAATTACAATGCCACCTACAATTTATTTTGGCATTACTATGTAAACAGTATAAATTTTGATTAATATTCTTCTGGCTATTATATATACCACTTGATGAACAATGAAAGAACTTGCAATGAGTTATATTAAAGTCATTTGGATCCTTATTATTTCAAAAAACTTAATAACCAAATCCTTGTTTCAAACAATACAGATGCATAAATGTTCCAATGGATGACCAGTCATCAAAAGTATCTCCTTCTTTATAGTTATATTAATAAGTAGATGGAGAAGTAACATTGAAGTGTTACTAAGCAGAATTAAGAGATGTAATTTCTGAAGGTTGGTAAGTGTAAATAGATGATGTAGTTTCAATATACTAACAAACAGAGTCAGAAAGAGCAAATTCCACATTAGTCAAACTGGGGGAAGTAATATTAACTTCCAAAGTAGATAAAGTTTTCTCAATTTCTAATGCAGGGAAGTAATTTCTACTTCCAAATTAGGCAAAGCTTCCTTAACTTCTAACATGATAGTAGTGCAATCTACCTTGAAAGATGATAAAATATGTTCAATTTCTAAAAAATAAGTATTAATTTTGATTTTTTTTTTGGTTCTTTGGCTTCTATTAAGTGCAATAGATTAGTAATACAAAATTAATATTATGTAAAATGTGATATATATATGTATATTAATATATATATATACAGATATACATATATATATATACAAAAAATTTAAAAAAAGCAACTCTTTTATAGATCACTTATACCAAAAATACAAAAAAACATTTAATTATTTCTTAATATTCTATTATATAAACCTTACTTGACCTCTTAAGTAAAGTTGTTCAGCACACTTTTCTACTTTCAGATGGTTGTGTTTTAAGTCCTGATAACACTTGGGTGTCAGGAAAAATTACAAAAACTATATTTTTTGTATTTGTCTATTTACTTAATATTTTACTAATTAAATCTATTATATTGCCTATTCAAAAGTTGTTCATCTCACTGAACCAAACATTTTGATATATATTTTGTTCAAACTAGACCAAAACTCATAGAGATACAAGTAAAAAGTAAAAACAAAAACTTATTCTTTGCAGGTTTTTTTATTGACAATTTTAGGAAAATTTGCTGGTATGCGCCAGAAATTTCACTTTTCTGGTATCCATTAGAATTTTCTAAATGCCCAATCAGCTTATCTGAAGCTTAAACTTTTTTTCAAACTTTTCTAATTAGTCTAGAAGGCTTTAAATTAAACAGATTTTTTTGAAAAACATATTTAGAAATCTATTTTTAGAAAAAAATTCTGACTTTAACAACTGTTGCACCTGATACCATTGATTTTGACTATTTTTACCAAAAGTGTTCTAAAAGCTTTGGTATTGGTATTCTTAAAGATGCAGCTAATACATTACATCCCATTCCTGCAAACAAGCAACCAAATAATTGTACAACTACAGAACTTAGAGAAGGGACTAAAAGTTTTCATTACTTCAAAGCACCCGAATCTAGTTCTATCATTACTTGCTTTTGTGGCAAGTTCCACAACCACTTTATCTCAATTACCATTCAAATTTACAAACAACATGAAGTTATTTCTACTAACAAAAAATCTATAGATAAAAAATCCTTAGCAAACAATATCACAAATTCTACTGAATTTATCCTACCATCACCAACAGCATCACCCTCACCTACCATACACAATCATCTATGTAGAAAATGCAACTTAGCTATTGCCTGCAAAGAAATAAATAATCAACATTATCTGACAGCAGATGCAATCTTATACAATGACAAACCTTATCACAAAACATATACAAATACTTAACAACCTATTCAATTATCAAGTTCCTCTCCTATATTCATCCAAAAACTTTAACAAACGATCAGTTTCTATAACCCACTAGCATCTGAACTTACCTTTACAACATCACCATCAAGTAGTACTAGCAATTTTAATGCTATGGACTTGAACAACAACATAATTAACAATAATAACTAACAATCATTACATTCTTACAAACAATTACAACAACAACAACAATTAGAAAAATAACAACAACAATCAAATAAACAACAACAACAGCAAACACAACCTAATACCAACAATAACCAACAAAAAACCAAAGCCAACCCAACATTTGACTAACTTGCCTACTTTCCTATAACTGATGAAATAAAAGACAAATCACAACTACAAATAGATTTTTCCAAAAAAATCTTTAACTTCCTTAAACAACACCTATTTAACTTCAAACCTGGAACTGAAATTAAACCTA